GCCAAGCTGATTACTTTCAGCATGCTCATCTTCTGTGCAGTTTGGGTCACCTTCATCCCAGCGTATGTCAGCTCACCTGGAAAATACACAGTTGCAGTTGAGATTTTTGCAATTTTGTCTTCAACATTTAGTCTGCTTCTTTGCATTTTTGCACCTAAGTGCTACATAATTTTGCTTAAGCCAGAGAAAAACACTAGGAAACACATTATGGGAAGTATGCATTCAAAAAGACTATAGCTTTTCCTTAATATATTTGCTATTTACTTGTTGCATAGAATATGTTTGCTTTGTCAACTATGGAAAGAAAATGAGATAAAACATTATATTTTGTAAATACTGTTTTTCAATTATTTTTTTCTTCTTTGAAATAAAAGGTACTGTAAATTAATTTAAAAACATGTTTTCATCACAACTTTTATTGGTAATATATATGTTCTTCCTGAAAAAGTTTAATCATGTTAAAATGCAATCACCTGAAGCATTTTATGAGCAACTGAGGCCTGGAGAATGATCATTTAAAATGTCACTCATCTGTATTGCAGTCAGACCAACATTGCAGTTTCCTACTCCTGACCTTGAAGTCTTACATTTGGATTTAATGCTATTTTGGATTTAGCTATTTTATTCACAACTTAAGAAGGTTACAATAACAAATTAGCACCAAAAAGCCTTGCAGCTCAATTAACAGTATAAGTACAGTACCAGTCTCCCTCTGGTGGTAGATTTATATATGTAATAAAATTTCAAGAATGAATGCAGTGATTTGCATAGTGCACTAAAGAACGTTTTCATTAAGAATTCAGTGAAAAGAAGTCCAAAAACTCTAAAAAATAACAATAATCAAACCTGGTTACTTCAAATGAGTACTTTGCACACAGAGGTTTACATTGTTATTCTTGGCCATTTCTTGTTGTCTTTAGTACTGAATTTTCTTTAACAATTTATTTTATAATTCATTTTGCAAAGACTGTACACATTACAAGCACAAATTGAAGAATTCAAGAATTTAGTTCTACAGAATGTCCATTTTTTTGCCCATACAACAAAACCATTCTTAATGCAGGAATGTATGAATACACATAATACCCTCTTGGGTATTTGTTTTAAGGTTGCGGCTTTTGTATAACAAATAACCATCATTTGCAGACTTCGAAACAGAACTAATATTCAGTTTAGGATCATAGTTTGTTCTTGCACAGCTATAAAAAGTTTAATCTGTGTGCTCATAATGTTTTCTATATATGTTCAATACTGAATGCCTACAGTACTTGATTTGCTCACTAATCATACGTTCAGTATATGAAAAGTGAATTTAGGAGTTTATGTCCTTCATGATCTCTAGATGTCAAGAGGCAGACAGGTAAGGTCTGCCCTCTCTAGGAAACTGGGAAAAGAACAGAGACCAGGCCACAGATGTGAAGTGATCATCAGATCGTTATTTCAGCTCAAGGCACGACACATTGCAGCTGCGTAAGAGGAAAAAGAGAGCTCTGCAAGTTTCTGTGACAGGTCTTTTAAAGCTTGTAAAAGAACAACCATATCAAAACTGCATTTTAGTCGCCACTTTCTCCTGCTGGCAAAACTGACACATTACCACAGTCTGCACTTGAGACTGAGCCTTCGCCACCTGCTTGCTACTTAAAGTTTATACAGCAATTTGAAACAATCTACAGTCTGACCTTCTTATTTTGTCAGCTAATGTATACAGCAGCTTGTTGATTAGACAATTTGTCACTGTCAGCTGTGTGCATACTATTTTTAATCAAATGTTACAAAAAAGGTTTTCTATTGAAACTTGTTAGGTATAACCAATATACCTATATTAATATACCTACAGTATAGCAATACAAGCAGGTAGGTTAAAGGTTAACAGTGCTCTGGTAACAGATACTAACTGTTAAATCCAAGTTATTAGTACTCTGATTACAATGATGTTATACAAAAGATAAAATCCAATCTCTTACAAAATGCTCTCCAAAACTGATGTGAAAAAACCATGGTTCACATTACATGTGCCCTGCAGCTGAATTAGACCTGACTCACACACATCTTCTCCTGTAGCTGGTCTGGTGTGACATTATCATCAGGAGCCACTTCTGCTACGATTAGTGAATTTACCTTAGTTCTCTCACCTGAAACCTGCATTTTATTCCCAACTAATAAACTCAATAAATAGGATGGTATTTTAGAATTGCCCTTTGCCTGAAATGCACTGTATTAAAGTTCAGATTACACTTTCCCTAGAGGCAACGCCTGTAGTAAAGGATGAATTGGGACTCACTGGTGTTCAGAACATTCCCAGATGTTTAAAAAAATAATTGAAAAGATTTGTGGTTCTTAGTGTTTTGTTGCCATTATACTGCCGCGGGTGTGAGTGAACATCAGGTCATAAAGTAACCATATACTGTAGATTATGATTAAGGACATGTTTAGCAACTACAGTAATCCAAATAAGATTAAAAATCACCACACACAACACAGAGTTATGGGAATATCTAGAAGATCAGCCAGTTCAGGATTCCAATGGATTTAAGAATTCCTTGATCTTTCCCTCAGAAGGCTTCTATAACAACTTTAGAGGTATAAAGATGGAAAACCAAATGTTCATTGACCTTCTCAGGGTTAGCGAGCACTATTATCTGATACTATTGTCTTTGATTGCCTCTGTAGAAGTTCATTTTGCATACATCTTCATGCAAGTGAGGTAAACAGAGTTGTATGAAAGCTTCCATATCATATGTACAGTACCAGATCTTTTGTTGCAACACTATTAAAGTTAATTAATTCTGTTTTTAGAATGAGAAATTCACATTCTTGTACTTTATATATTTTTTTTTAAACTGCAGAATTACAAACAGTAGTTTTCAATCAGATTTTATGACAAGTCTAAAGTTAAAGCACAGATAATTACAACTTCCTTAGAACTCCTCCTGTGTCTCACGTATTGGATTGTTAATTAAGTCCTTGGACTTTTTACAGATCCAGTGAAAAATACTTTCTCAAAAAGATCATTTACTGTACAGCTATTACAGTATCTCTAGGGTATACGGTTTGTTTTGAATTGTTCACTCTTCTGACTTCAATTGTGTGGCAAACCCATGAGGGATTTAAATCGCATATATAAACTGGAATCAGTACCTTCACTTTGTTTTGTAAAGTATATTCTGTAGCCTACAAGTTAGACTACTGCAATGGAGGCATGGGTCCTAACTGTTTTTGTGTTTTGTTTCTGTTTCCAGGTAAACGGTGAATCGACTTGCAGCATCCTGGCAAAATTTGGTATGTCTGGATTATTTAAAGATGGAGATTTAGTTATCGGTGGAATCTTCCCTGTTTTAACCAAAGAGGAGCAGCGCTCTGTCTCGTACAAAACCCACCCACCGGCACCAGAATGTTCTGGGTAAGTTTTACTGCGAATACTGCCGAAATGACGCACGTGTTTTTTAGGAAAATACTGTATTTCATGCCAGTTTATAAATCTGTTCACGAAAAGGAAAGGTGAATTCATTGCTGTTTCTTTTTCCATGCCGTGCATTTGACCAATAAAGTATTTTGAAATGCCCAACAGACAAATGTCTACATTAACGGTTTGATTTGTTGTTTGTGTGTGTGTGTGTGCGCGCTACGCCAACAGGTTTGATCTACGGTCATTTCGCTGGACGCAGGTGATGATTTTCGCCATAGAGGAAATTAATAGGGATAGCACCTTGCTGCCCTCAGTAATACTAGGGTATCGTATTTTTGATAACTGCGGCTCAGCCGCCCTGACAGTGAGAGCGGCTCTGGCGCTCGGAGGGGGTCAGGAAGAGGACGGGGCGAAATCCACCTGCCGCAATCCAGTCCCGGCAGTTTTAACCTCCAACTCCGTGTTTGCAGCCAGAAGGATCGGGCCCTTCGGCTTGCCATTGGTAAATTTTTCTTTCTAATGGTATCCGGTTTTTTTTAAGTCTAAAATGTGCTAGTCTCATTTGCCTCTTGCTGTATATACTGTACAGTATTTAAGGGCTATAATGAATTGCACGTGAATGCTATTGATTTCCCCTTTAATTCTAAAAAGCCATATTGCTATGGTTTTATATTTCAATAGGTCAGTTATACTTCAACATGTGCTTGTCTCAGCAATAAAAAGGAGTTCCCCACGTTTTTCCGAACGATTCCAAGCGATTTTTATCAGGCCAAAGCCTTGGCTCTGCTTGTTAAGCGCTTCGGATGGTCATGGATCGGAGCTGTCCGAGCTGATGACGAGTATGGGATATTTGGGGTTCAGTCTTTCACCGAGGAGGTGAAAAAGTATGGTGTCTGCATCGCTTTCATTGAAAGTATTTTGAGCACCTACCCGAGAAGTAAAATACTTAAAATAATCGACATTATTAAGACGTCTAAAGTCAAAGTCGTATTAGCATTCGTTGCGGAACGCGACCTATATCCTTTAATGCAGGAGATTGTCAGGCAAAACATAACTGGCATACAGTGGATCGCAAGTGAAGACTGGATAACAGCAGCGAGACCCTCAACGGAAGAATTCTTCAGGTCTTTTGGCGGCACAATAGGATTTGCGACAAGGAAAATGGCAATCCCACCCCTGAAAGATTTTCTCCTCAACGTACGTCCATCGCTCGGTTTTGAAAACAGTTTGGTAAATCTGTTTTGGGAAACTATCTTCGGATGCACCCTGCATTTCAGGGACGAACTTTCTAACCAAAACATTTCGGCAAATAAGATCAATATCTGCAGAGCAAACCAAAGTCTGGAGGAAGTAGACAACGCTTTCTTTGATGTCACGCAGCTGAGAGTGTCATACAATGTATATAAAGCAGTGTATGGCGTTGCGCACGCACTTCACCGTTTACTCTTTTGTGAAAACGCTTATAATGATACGATCAAGCTATGTGGCAGCATTTCAGAAATACAGCCGGGCAAGGTGAGTACATCTTAAACACTGAACTCTGTGGGACGTCTTTTAGGTCAAAATGTTGGAGGATGTACTGTATAGCACTCAACCTCGCCAATTCTTGGTTCAGGATCCTACTGCACAGCTCTTTACATTCTGAACCTCTGTGAATTTGTTGGTGCTGCAGGAAGTTAGCTTTAAATGTGTGTTTATACTATTTATTCAAGGTCACGGAACAATTAAAAAGAGTCAATTTTGTGAACCGTTTTGGAGAAGCTGTGTACTTTGATGAGAACGGAGATCCTCCTGCTGCCTATGACATTATAAACTGGCAACTCAACAAAGGAGTGGTCAGCCATGTGACAGTGGGTCACTTTGATACATCACCAGATGGAGGCAGCCAGCTAGTGATTGATGAGGACAGTATTGTCTGGAGCACTGGGAGAGAGGTACTGTACAAGCATTTTTACACACTGTTTCAGGTGATAGGTCAGTGAGACTTCAAATCAGACAGTACACTTTGTGTGTAATATTTGTACTGTACATGTAGATGATATCTAGTGAGTACAAATGTTATACAATTCATACAGCACAAGTGGAGAAATAAAGCTTCATTACAAAGTTTTGTCCCTACAATTATTACTATTAAATATTCTTTTTTAAAATTCTAGTCCCCGATTTGAATTTCAAAGCAAAAAAAAAGCAGGTATTAAATGTGTGGAGATCATTCCATTGATTCTGACCCTGTTTGTTGCTTTATGTTCATCCTGAATGTGATTGTTTTCAGTAGATACCGTACCCAAGACGTAGTGCAAACAAACATAAAGAGGAGACTTCATATTTCTATCTTCAATATGTAAAAACAGATATGAAAGAAGAAAAAATGTTATCTGTATTTAAGATTTTCTTCCATTCTTTAGTCATAACTTTGAACTATGTACACAAAGTAAGGTTTTAAATTCATATATATTTTTCCAGGTTCCCAAAGCAGTGTGTTCTGAGAGCTGCCCCCCAGGCACAAGAAGAGCAGCCAGGAAAGGCCAGCCCATCTGCTGCTTTGATTGCATTCCTTGTGCTGATGGTACCATAGCAAACACTACAGGTAAAGAACAACTTAAAAACCTAATTTCGTAATATTCTTTTTTTTTCACTGCAGTGAGATCACATTTCACATGCAATACTCTTTTCATATGATTCAAAATTGAATGCTCAGCTGAGTACAAGATTCAGAAATCTAATTTTGATGTTTCCAACACACAGTAAAAACCAAACTTACTTTACTGTGGCCTTGACTTTATGTCAATCTACTACACACTATCAACAGTTCATTACATACAGTGTGACAGTAAAAAAGAACATTACTAAATATTTATAAAAAGATCACAATGGTATGGTTTGAAAAAGAATAACAGTTGTCTTTAACAGGGATAAAAGTGTTAGAATATCAGTTCTCCTCATAACCAAATATTATGTTACAGATCTAAAATATTTTAAATATAAATAATTTAGAAAATCAAACTGTACATCAGAAGTACACAAACTACAAAATTTCTCCATTAACTGTCACGTAACAGTTTGCAAACAGGTTTTGTTCTTATCCTCAATATGTTTTGTTGAATTTTACATAATTTACATAATGTATTCTATAAATCATGACACTGTCTCAAAATCTCTGAAAATGAGTACTATTAATTTTCACTAATTTTCATTATTGTTTCAGGTGCAGCTGAGTGCATTAACTGTCCAAAGCACTACTGGTCTAATGATGGAAAAAATAGCTGTATCCTCAGAGACATTGAGTTTCTTTCCTACTATGATGCAATGGGAATCACACTCACTACTGTGTCATTGTTTGGACTCTGCTTGACAGTAGCCACTATTTCAGTCTTCTTTTCCTTCAGAAGCACACCCATTGTAAAAGCCAACAACTCTGAGCTCAGCTCTCTCCTGCTGTTCTCTCTGCTGCTGTGTTTTCTCTGCCCTCTTACCTTCATTGGGCAGCCAACAGCCTGGTCCTGTATGTTGCGTCACACAGCCTTTGGAATCACATTTGCACTTTGTATTTCCTGTGTGTTGGGAAAAACAATAGTTGTTGTAACAGCTTTCAGAGCCACTCTTCCCAACGACAACATGGCAAAAAACTTTGGGCCAGTTCAGCAGAGGATCATAGTTTGTTCTTGCACAGCTGTGCAGGTTGTAATCTGTGTGCTGTGGCTTAGTTTAAAACCTCCCTTCCCTGACAAAAATTTTAAACTCAGTAATAAAAAGATAATTTTAGAATGTAACACAGGATCAGAAATTGCATTTTATGCAGTACTGGGCTATATAGGCCTGCTTGCAGCTACTTGTTTGGTGCTGGCTTTCTTAGCCAGGAAACTGCCTGATAATTTCAATGAGGCCAAGCTGATTACTTTCAGCATGCTCATCTTCTGTGCAGTTTGGGTCACCTTCATCCCAGCGTATGTCAGCTCACCTGGAAAATACACAGTTGCTGTTGAGATTTTTGCTATTTTGTCTTCAACGTTTGGCCTGCTGTTTTGTATTTGTGCCCCTAAATGTTATATAGTCCTGCTTAAACCTGAAAAAAATACAAGGAAGCATATAATGGGAAAATTGCCTTCAAAAAGACTATGATTTCCCTTTCTTTAATTTGTTAAGCTCTTACATTTTGTATTTAAAATTTTACTCTTTTTAACAAACAGAATAAAGGTGGATAGATATATAGAAATGCTTGAAAAAATTAGATTTGTCATATACAGTACTGAATTGTGCAGATAGTAATAAACATATTTAAATAACAAAGCTTTCCTTTAGGCAGAGATTTTAAACATTTCTATTAAGAGATACAGTAACACAAAACAGTTATTTTTCTAAAACACTATCTGTTAAATATAATGTCACCTGAATTATTTAGTGTGAATTCAGGACAAGATCAGTCTAAATTGTACTGGTTGAAATGTTTTTCATTCATTAGATATACAGTACTAAGTAAGTTTCTCATTCCTGTTCCTGAGGCCATTGTCTTCTTCCAGTTCTCTTTTAAGAAGATATTGAAAACACGAATGAAAAGGTAATTTCCTTGTACAGTATGTAAGCAGACTATGTTTCTTTGTTATTGCTTTTATAGGCACAGGTCTCCTTTTTGTAGGAGCTGATGAACATCATATATTATTATCAATGGAATTTATTCATTTTCTCTAACTGTACATTTTCCCAGGTTACTAAGAAATGATAACACTGATGAAGCATAGTATGTTAATAAATAAAAGTGACGTTTTTTAAAATACAAACAATGTACTGTACAACAGCTGTGACAGAATGTGGGCCAACCATATTGAGGAGAAATACGTTTGTCCCTGGTTGTGGTTTATACCCAGGGTAACTTTGCCACAGTAACATTTGTAATCCTAAGAGCTCCAGACGTGTGCAATGTACCCAGACCCTGTACCAGATTCCCACGGCCAGCCTGGACCCTGACCCTGTCCACTGCAACCTGGGGACCTGGACTGACTTGTGGCTCCCAACCTCCACCCTGGGGCCCCTGGACTTCTGATTTGTACTCATTTTTTAAAAGTAAATACTGTTAATAACTTGAATACTCAATATTTCTTTGGCGGGGGGGATTAAATGTAAGCAATAACTGTCCCCCCAAAATTAAAACCTTAAATGTTATTTGCTTAAGTATTCTGTTTTTTTTTTTAATATAACAAACCTACTGTAAATTAGTTCAGATGCAGTTTCTGAAGTCTCTACAGTTTCTCATTTTAAATACGATCATGCTTTCAATCTGTGTAAAACATTTCAAGGGTTTACTGTACAGCTCGGGTCTTTGGAATCAATATACGATCAAAATACAGTATCAATATGCACCCTTCTACTTGGGCCTTAAAACCGTTTCTACCCTTAAAACTGCCAGCTGACATTTCGCAGCGCCCCCTGATATCCCGACTCTGGAAACACCTGTTTCACTGGTCAAATAGATCCCTTTGTCTTCGCCTTCAGAGACGCCTTTTTTATCTGCTGTCTCAGACGTTCACTAATTCTGCGACAAAACTATGCAGCAGAGCTCAGTTAAAGAGACGACGAGGATTTAAATGAAAAACTTCAGTTTTGAGGCTAGAGACAGATGGCAGAGAAAACGGACATGCTCCGTAGTGCTGACAAAGGAAAAAAGGTGTTTAAAACAGTAAAATGAGGACGGTCCACCAAGTGCTCAATGCTGAGTATTTAACAGTTACTTTTCATATATTTAAACCTTCCATATTTTCCTTTCGATTGAGTTTTTAACCATATCATTAATCAGAAACTATTTGATGTTTGATATACAGAAATGTACTGTACGTGCTACCGGATCTCCCCCTTCACACGGAGACAGAGAAACCTCATGGGAGATGACTGTTCATTTCATTCTCCCTGTGACGCTCATTAAAATTATGCGCTGGGACTTTGAGAGATTATTTCCGTATATAAAATGACATACTGTAGCTACTTCAGTTTCGATTCATTTTGCCTTTTTTTATACGTGCTAGCCCATAATGAATACACACATTGTAATATTTTTCATGTTCTCTTGCGGCTTTCAGGCTGACGGCGATCTGACTTGCAGGATACTGGGAAAAAATACAATGTCAGGTTTGTCCAAAGACGGCGATTTAGTGATCGGTGGCGTTTTCCCAGTTTTTGGGACACTTGAGGACACCGGTACATTGTTCACAACAGCACCACAAAAAGCTAAATGTTTTGGGTGAGTCTCAGTGCACGCAAGAGCTACACAATATATGTTTTAAGTATTTTTTAAATATTTAACATTTTAAGGTAAATTGTCTGTTATTATGGGTTTTTTTGTTTTAACGGAAATCAGACCCATACATGTCGCCGTAGAAACAACACCTGTTAAGGGACCAAAAATAAATATTTAAGTAAGATATTAACCTGTTCTTTTTTTGTTATGCCTCGCGACACCTACTGTAGAAGCAGCCTGTCATCCATTATTCGGTCGCGTAACGAAGAGCGAAGAGTTCAGTACTTTCTACCTCGGAGAATATTGCACCCCAGCCTAAAACCAACCTCAGACCCCCAAAGCTTAGTATAAGGTAGAAAGGCGCAATGCAACAGCATATTACCTGAACTTATTATTCCTTCTAACAGGTTTGATTTTGATGTGTTTCGATGGGTACAGATGATGGTCTTTGCCATCGAGGAAATAAACATGAACAACAGATTGCTCCCGAACATTACTTTGGGATACAGAATCCTCGACAATTGCGCTTCTCCAGCTGAAACTGTAAGAGCGGGTTTAATCCTAGCCAACGGACCAGAAGAGGTTGACTCGAACTCCTCATGTCCCTCGCCAGTCACTGCTGTGATCACCTCTAACTCCTTACATATCGCCAGAGCTATTGGAAATTTTGGGATTCCTTTGGTAAAACTCAATGTTCTTTATGTTTAAAATGCATCGCTGATATCGACAATACATTTTAGCAATCTGCGCTTAAACCAGCAGCCTAATGTACTGTATTATAAAGAATGTTTACATTTCTTTATACGTTAATACTGTACACTGGTGCATTTTTTTTTTCATTTTAATAGGAGTCTATCATTGTTGTAGTGCTTATAGTATGTGCTGTTAGGTGTTTACATGGACACAATTTGCCTTTTCACTGTTTAAAACAACGTTCACTACCAATACTTAAGATTTATGTATTTTAATAAAGTATTTTAAGAGTTGAATAATGCTTATCTTTAAATAGCCATCTTGTCATCAACGCTATGCATATAGTTTTCTCCAAAAGTACCTCAATGTATGTTTTTTATTTTAGGTGAGCTACACTTCAACATGTGTTTGTCTCAGCAACAAAAGAGTGTTCCCAACGTTTTCCCGCACTATTCCGAGTGATTTTTTTCAGGCCAAAGCTTTTGCTCAGCTTGTTAAACACTTCGGTTGGACTTGGATCGGAACTATTCAAGCGGACAATGAGTACGGTATATTTGGGATTCAGTCTTTTACCAAGGAAGTGGTAAAATACGGAGTTTGCATTGCCTTCACTGAAAACATTCTCAGCACCTACTCAAGAACAAAAATACTTCAACTAGTGGACATCATTAAAAAATCAACGGTGAAAGTCATATTAGCATTTGCTTCAGAGCGTGACCTGTACCCTTTAATGCAAGAGATCGTC